TGTCTGCCTAATGCGCGATCATAAGTTTAGGGTTTAGGTTTTAGGGTTTGGGATTTAGGGTTTAGGATTTTAGGTTTTAGGGTTTAGGATTTAGGGTTCAGGGTTTAGGATTTAGGGTTTAGGGTTTAGGGTTTCTCTTCAAGAAGCCCTTGAGAAACCCAACTTTTCGGCGCAGGCATCGGCGTCACAGATTGCACAGCTCAAGGATGTGCTGTTGGTGGAGAGGAGCCCGCGTGCGTGTAGGGTTTAGGGCAGCCAGAGTTCCATCCATCCCAATAAGACCGAAAACTTCTGAACAACCAACGAAACGAGAATTCGGGACCCTCGACCCCTAAACCCTAAACACTAAGCCTCAGCCCGAGCCCGACAGGCCCGAGCCGATGACCCCGATCGTAGCAGAATAACCTGCCAACAGGGCGTAGTCCATTGGATGACAATGATGAACTAGGCAGGTGTTTTAGAGATTTGATGCTTCCCCTTGAAATAGGGGCCTAAATAATTGCCAATACTATTTTGGGGGTTTCTTCTTATACTTACAGTATAATGGCCCCAAAACCCTATTCTAATTATTAAGGCCCCTGCATTATGCTTTAAGCTTTAATTAGGCTAAAGAGGATCTTGTTCGACCACGATTTTTCGGAGACTTTAGAGGGCCAGCCCAGGGTTTAGGGTTTAGGGTTTAGGGTTTAGGGTTCAGGGTTCAGGGTTCAGGGTTTAGGGTTTAGGGTTTAGGGTTTAGGGTGTAGGGGTGACTGTTAGGAACATGTCCCATTGCAATCACCCGAAACCTGAACCCAAGACACCAAATCCCAAGCCCAACTCAAACCTAAATCCCAAACGCCAAAACTCTAAACCGCCGAAGACGATGCTCCTGCACTTCCAGTTAATATAGGGTTCGGAATAATTAGTTGTACTATATCCTTATGGCCCGTAAAGTATTTTGCAATATTATCCTTCCTCAAAAAGCTGTAGTTACGCAGGCGCTATGCTTATCCCTTATAGTAGCCCTTCAGAAACTTTTCAAAAACGTTTACAGAACCTAATCCAATTCTTATGGCCCTCCATGTTATGCCTTTCCCTAAACGCTAAACCCGAAACCCTTTCCCATAGGGTCCTAAGTACCTATATGGTAAAATGTAGGGTTTCTACGCTAGAAATGTCTATCATTATTTTTGGGAAGTATTCCCCATAACAGTGGTACATTCCGCATTATTAAGGGTAAGGCAGGATGTATCTCATCAGTCGTATAACCCCTATATAATCCCAAACCCTAAACCTTAAAAAAACCTATAAAGCCTGAAGCCCTAAGCTCTAAGGACCCCTTTGGGTTTCGAAGTTTCAGACGAGGAGCTCCCGTGATGCCTTTCGCAGCTCTTTGGGCCACGTGGCAGAACCAGGAGGGGTCCGCAAAGTTTGTGTAGGGTTCCTTTAAAAGCTTCTAGAAGGGTTTAGGGTTTCGGGTTTTATTACGGTTTTAGGGATCTGTCATAGGGATCTACGGTTCTACAACGTAGGGGCTAGTTTGCATAAGGCTTTGGGATGTAGTTCTGAAGAAAATGAGGATCTCGTTGTGGCAACAAGCTCTTGTGTGCATGTGTGGTAGGTTTAGGGTACAGGGTTTATGGCTTAGGGTATAGGGTTTGGGGCTTAGGGTACCCTCTACAACCTAAACTCCGAACCTGCGGTATTTTTTTGTGGAACTCTCGACTGAGTCTGCGCACTCGTATCATAATGTTGTTTCCGGGATGTCCTCCTTTGCTTCTCTTCCTGCGGGGAAGGGCATATGCGTCCGTCCTTTGCCAAACATACGATGTGTTTGTAAGACAATAAACAACGACAAAAGCTGAATTATCTTTGCAAATGCGCATGCCGGAAAACCATGGAACCCCTAAACCTTAAACTCTGAACCCTAACGCCTAAAGCCTAAACACCCCGACATTTCTCAACTGAGCGGAGGCTGCTGTACGTACCTCATGTTCTCCCTCACGTTTTCTTACGCTAAGGGTCCATGTGCCCAAACAGTATATACTTTTGGCCCCGAAGCACATAACTAGGGGACTACTTTAAGGCGAAAGTATAGACTATTTGGGTACATGGACCCTTAGGGTTACCTGGCTGCTATCCCAGCTAGGGCCCAGACATTGAAGCATTGAAGGACCTTGGATTGGATCAGGGTTTATAGGGTTAAGGGTTTAGGCTGAAAGCGCAAACCCTTGAATTTAAACCCTAAACCCTAATTTCTGTGCACTGCAGGCAGCAGCTGTGGTGCCCCCGAAGTGGCACCTGAGGCCTCTTGCATGCAGCCCCCCAGTTGATGCAGGGTGTCAGTGACCCGTTGCCGCTAAAAGTGTCGAAGTTCTCTGTCTACTTGAGTTCTCGGAAGAAGTACCAATACTATCCCCCTGTGTAACAGTCCCTACAGTTACAGCTACAAAAACTCGATTCGATTTGTTCAATCCTCTGTATTAACCTTTTGGAACCCAGAGCCTTCGAAGGCATACCAAGGAAGGAAAGGTTTATGGTGATATAGGGGCCTCAATAATTACCCATATTATTCTGGGGGTTCTTTATTAGAATTATTATTATAGTATAAAGGACCCCAAAAGCCCTATTCTAAGTTTTAAGGCCCCAATAGTATCTTTAGCAACTCGGAACCCTCAAATTTAGCCTGAAGCCTGAAAGCCGTGAGTTTCGCCGTCCTGAACCCTCGGAACCCTGAACAGTAAACCCAAAGCTACATACCACCTAATAACCTAATGATTTATAATCCTGAACCCGAAGTCCGAATTGTGGGAACCGGGCTGACGTCGGCTCTTAGAGTTCGGAGCCTGGATGTAAGGTCTATGGGTCTTCAGGGGTTGGGGGTTTAGTGCTTTAGGCTTTGGAGTTCACAGCCTTAAGCTTCAGTAATACGGGGTTTGGAGTTCAAGGCTTCAGGCTTTCGGACTTTAGGGTTTAGGCCTTCAGGGCATCGGGAGGTCAGGGGGTTTAGGGGATTTAGGGTTTAGGGGCTTCTCGCAAGTGGGTCCTGACTAGACAAGCATCGGGCTTAATTACTTCCCGGAACGAAATGGACCCAAGTCCTTCTAGAACGAACGTCTTGGCGTACCACCCGCACCGTCACACTTAAGCCGTAGACTGTAGACTGTAGACATGTCAGCTAAGCTCCTGCCACGATGCCCCCATCACATGCCCACCTATACGTGCGACTCCATGAATGCTGGATTTGCAGCTCCGACAAGAAGTTCGCCCCTACATCCTAAACCCAAACAAGTAATATAGCGGCCTTAAATTACCTATACGCTGTTGGGGCTTCCCTATTATACTTACAGTTAGGGCATAATGTACCCCCGAACCCTATTCTACTTATTAAGGCCCCTGAAATTAGAAACCCTCAACTCGGACCCTGCAAGAAAGGAGTACAAGGTCTGGATAAATTGCGATATCATTCCCTACCCCTCCCTAGTCTTAGGGTTTAGGATTAAGGGTTTAGGGTTTAGGGTAATTTTGAGGATATCTGATTCAAAAGCCTTGCCATGGTTTTTGTTTATGCTTGTATTGAGGCCTCGCAATTAGGCTTTCATGTCTGAGGACTCAGCCGACTTGCCTACCCTGCGAGCGGTGCTGAGTTCGCGGCAGCTTGGTTAGGTGTTTGGAGCTTCGAGAATATTGGTGGTTTTTGTGAGAGGTTTCCAACAGGCGATTGCAGGGTGCATCTGTGATTTCGGATTGTTGTCAGGGGTATGGGCTTTGCTGTTTGGGGTGTAGGGTGTCAAGTGCAGTTTGGTGCGATCTCTCTGGTGTACCGCGGCACATGAACCAAACAAGACCTGGGCTGCGTGTGTGTGTGTATATATCTATATATCAACTCTGTATGTATGTTTGCATGCATGTTTGTGAAAAAACATAATATATGTATGGACGGCTTAGGTAGAGTTCCGGGTTTGAGGTGTAGATCGTAGACCTTTGCCGATACCATTCCTTTTAGGCTTTTAGGGTCATTCGAAGGTTTCCTCCAGATAAGTAAGCAGTATATTTTCACCAGACCCATTTTCTAATCATGAAGGCCCCGATATTCTCCTAAACCCAAACCCCTAAGCCCTCAACCCTAAACCCAACGCCCTAAAACCCTAAGCCCCTAAACCCAAAACCGACAACCCGAAGCCCTGAACCCTAAACCCAAAGCCTTAAAACCCAAAGCCCTAAACCCTAAACCGAGTAAGTCGATTCCTAGAGGCTCCCGTCCCTGATCCGCGTCTTAAGCCCTGAAGCCTCTGCCTTCGGGTTCCCAATGCCTTAGCCAGTTTAGGGTTTAGGGTTTAGGAGGTTTTAGGGTTTAGGCTTTAGGGTTTGGGGTTTGGGGTTTAGGGGGTTTTAGGGTTCAGGGTTTTGTTTAGGGTTTTGGGGGCTTTAGGGTTCAGGTTTCAGGGTATAGAAGCCTAAACAATTACCTATAGTATCCTTAGGGTTCCTTATTATAGTTATACCATGAAGGAGCCTAAACCCTATTCTAAGTATTAAGGCCCCTGCATTAAGCCTTCGGCAACCCTAAACCCTAAAACGCCCTTTTTTCAGTATTCTTATGGTATCGTTATTGTATCCTTGTAGTTCCTTTCTAGTACCCTTACAGAACGTGCATGGGTGCCTCATAGTACCCTTGTCCTTATGGTACCCTTGCAGAACCTTCACTCCTCATAGTACCCCTATGGTAGTCTTTTGGAGCCCTCATAGTGTCCCGTCCTGGTACCCTTTTCGACCGACCCTTAAAGACCCTCTAAAGTAGAAGCCAGAAGGTTGCAATATCAATATCCACGTGCCCTTAGAAGGTAAACTATAAGGGATCCTAGCACGAATCCTCCTAAACCTATGTTCCAACTTTCTGGGATTCGCTGTATAGTACCCTAAACCCTAAACCTTAGACCCTAAACCCTAAATCCTAAACCCTAAACCCTAAACCCTGAACCGTAGCACTCCCGACTTGTACCATGTCGAGGCACCAGGAGATTGCAGAGCTGGAAGCCAAGATGATCGAAGCTCAAGATGAGGCAGGGCCTTGAGACTGTAGGGCTTGGGGTTTGGGGGTTTGGGGGTCCCGGTTTAGGGTTTAGGGTTTAGGGTTTTGGGGGCTTCTGGGTTTGGGGTTTAGTATAGGGCTTAGCCTAGGGGCTTGGGTTATAGTAAGTAAGTGCATTCCTTCATAAACAAGCGATGCCACAAAACCCTGCACGAGTTACCCAGACCAGTATATTCAGCTTACACTCTTAGAGTGACGATTCGGGATAGGTTGCGAATTAGTTGAATGAAACTTAACTTTAAGTATTTCGTGGGGTCGTTAGAATCGACAGCTAGTGCTTATTGCCACCAATTTGGTGGTTCAGAGTTTTGGGACGTGTTTTGTTTTGGGGTTTGGATTTAAGGTTTGGGGGTTGAGGGTTTAGGGTCTTGGGGTTTTAGGGTTTATGGCTTTGGTTTCAGTGGTTCAAGCTCAGAAAGAGGAGCCCGAAGTCGCAAGCCAACTCCATTAGCCAAAGCTGTGTCTGACAAACTATCCTCAACTGAGGTCTGGAGCATCTTTCTTTATTACTGTTTCTGACCTGCTCTATTAAAGGTATCCATTATGAAGTTTAAAAACGTATACTACGTCCTCTCTGGTTACATCAAAGCCGCTAACCTATGTTCCAACTTTCTTTCTGGATTGTAGCTAAAGCCTATGCATCATTGAGCCTCCTATACTAAATCCCGATAGCATCTCTGCAAGTAACACGTTTAGAAGCCTTACAAGTAACCCATAAAGGACCCCTACTGGCCCAAAACGTCGCTGGAGGAGCTGCGGTTACGGAAGAAGTTGCCATTGCTGGAGGCACAGGCAAAAGACTCCGCGGCGCAGGCGGAGGCATGGTGGGAAGGGGGCAACTTCCATGAGTGTAGAGCTTAGTTTGGTACACACACTTCTTTGTGACCCCGCTTCTCCAGGGTACCCCTAGCCCTAGACCCTAAAGCACCTTGCAGACGCATCTGAGCAGGTGGAACTTCAATCGGAACTTGTCCAAGAACTTTTGGCTTGGTAACTGATGCTGTGCAGAGCCTATGTGGCAAGAGCCTTTCTTAGTTAGAGACTTTGCATCCAGCCTTTGGAGCATGTTGTGCCACATTCTGTGTCCAGATGCAGCATCCCCCTAAACCTTACACCCGAAACCCTAAGCCCTAAACCCTGAAGCCTAAAAAGCCTGCCATGGCGGATGCATGGCGAGGGGATGTGCAGCGGGAGCGGCAGCAGGGTAGGCCGCTGGATGCTATGAAGGCTCTGATGCTGGAGATGCTGGGACTTATAGAAGAAGGGTTTAGGGTTTAGGGTTTAGGGTTTAGGGTTTAGGGGCTCTTGTTCCAGGGTTAGGGTTTAGGAATTAGGGTCTAGGGGATAGGGCTTAAGTTGTTACTATGATGAGGAAACCATATTCTTTGCTAGAGGTCCTTATTATGGTAGCTAAATCCTAAACCCTAAACCCTAAACCCTAAACCCTAAACCCTAAACCCTAAACTAAACTAAACTCCTCAAGAAAGAGCCCAGGATGAGGCGTTTCAGTGAGAAGCCCTGCGTCCTTCAGCTCGGCATCGACCCTGGGGTCATCAGGAGTTTAGTTTAGGGTTTAGGGTCTAGGGTCGAGGGTTCAGGGTTTAGGGTCTAGGGTTTTGGGTTTAGTTTTGTTTTTTGCTTTTCTACCGTTTCTCCTTTCTGCCTGAGTTTCACCTTTTTTATTTTGAGAGCCTGAAATGAAACAGCCCAGCCCAAAACCTTACACCCGAATAAACCCTAAACCCAAACAAAACCCCTAAACCCCTTTAAACCCAAAGCTCTAAACCCTAAACCGCAGACTCTATGAACGGCCGTGGCACTTTCAAAAAAACCCTAAACCTAAACCCAAACAGCCCAGGACACCTCGAAGTTCTATACCGACCCGGCAGCTTTCGGTCTGGCTCTCCGGGAGGCAGGCGCCTCGGAGGCTGATGTGGCCCTCTTTGCCCTGATCCTCCTGGAGCCTGGGCTTCAGGGTTTAGGGTTGAGGGCTTTAGGGTTTAGGGTTTACCGTTTCGGGTTTAGGGTTCAGGGTTCAGGGTTTAGCGGGT